AGGTACAATTACAGACTTACAAACTTTCGTGCTTATGTTCCAGTCATAGAATGATTGGGTACCCATCCCTCTACCAGTGCCCATTCTCCAGCACCAATGTTCCCAGTATCCCTCCCACCACCACCCCCATTCCCCCTCCCCCCGCCCCCTGCCTCTGTGGCAGGCACAATCCCTTTTGCTCTCCTTCTTCGAGTGTTGTGGTTTGTAATACAGGTATTAAGTGGCCATCATGTTCGGTCTATAGTCTACTTTCAGCACACATCTCCCATCCCAAGCGGGCTCTCTAAGCATCCTTTACTTGGTGGTCCCTTCTCTATCTGAGCTGCCTTTTCCCCCAACAGGTGAGGCCAGCTTTCAAGCTGTGGAGGAATTTTCCTGGTCCTTAACTCTACTATAGTTGGGTGTTAGTCTCCGATTCTGTTACTTTATATTCCACAAATGAGTGCAGTCTTTCTATGTCTGTCCCTCTCTATATGACTCATTTCACTTAACGTACTTTCGATGTTGATCCACCTATATGCAAATTTCATGACTTCATCTTTTCTAACAGCTGCATAGTATTCCATTGTGTAGATCTACTAAAGTTTCTTTAACCAGCAAACTATAATACTTAAACTGCAAATTTTTTGTTAAGAAGGCAGAATGGGAGATAGAGGATGTTAGGGAGCACTGGGACATTGGTAGAGAGATGGTCATACTGATATTTGAATTGGAGTTGGGATATTGTACACTGAAACTATTATTAATAGATTTGTGAGTTGTGGTACTAAACAAAAATTTAGCGAAAAACAGAAAAAACAGAAAAGTTAACAGGGTATAAGGAAATTTCTGTAGATAGAATTATTTTACTTTGATCTTATTTAATTTTTATTAAAGCACTGTAGCACTGTCCTCCCATTGTTCACTGATTTTCTCAAGCAGGCACCAGTAATGTCTCCATTGTGTGACTTGTTGTTACTGTGTTTGGCATATTGAATACATCACGGGTAGCTGCCAGGCTTTGCCATGCAGGCAAATACTCTAGGTAGCTTGCTGGGTTCTCCAAGAGGGGTGGAGGAATCAAACCTAGGTTGTTTACAAAATTTTTCATATTTGAGTTTTAGACATACACTATTGCGGCACTGAGCCCATCAGTGTCAACTTCCCTCAATCAATTGTTCCCAGGTTCCCTCCAATATCCACAACCCCCCCCCCCCCCCACACACACACACATGCCTTCTGCCTGCTCTCTTTGACCAGCACATTTCTGTGGATATTTGGATCTATTATTCCTTAACACCACTGTACCTGAATCCCCAGACATGGACACTATTGCTTCTCATCTGTCTCTTTTCAGCCCCTTCCATTCAACCTTGGCCCCAGAATATAGGGAGAAGGAAACTTTTTCTTTCTTTCTTTCTTTCTTTCTTTCTTTCTTTCTTTCTTTCTTTCTTTCTTTCTTTCTTTCTTTCTTTCTTGGCTTTTTTGGTCACACCTGGTGATGCACAGGGGTTGCTCCTGGCTCTGCACTCAGGAATTACTCCTGGTGGTAGCTCAGGGGACCATATGGGATGCTAGGAATTGAACCAGGGTCGGCCACGTGCAAGGCAAATGCCCTATTTGCTGTGCTATCACTCCAGCCCCCAGAAATTTTTTCTTGATGGCAGCTTTGGACTTATATTGTGCTAAACAATTTTGGACTTGAATCTTTATAAAATTATTTCTTATTTAGAAGGCAGATTGAAGATAGATCAGATGAAATTCTGAAGTTCACACAAATTCCATGATTCTTTGCCTAGCAAAAGAGCATTTAAAGTTATAGTAGAAAGTCTCAAATTTTTATAAATTTATTTTCTCACTATTTATTCTGCCATTATATAGTTAAGCATTACTAAATGTGTTCTGTTAGTCTTTTTTTCAGGATGAAAGTTTTAGTTGATATTTTTATTTCACTATTGTTTATTTTATTTTTAATCTTGACACATATTTTGAGTGTTAGATTTGATTTCATATTTTTAATCAAGGACCCGTGCGTATGTCCCATGACTTATTTCATGGATAAAGTTGAAGAACAACTTAACACACTCTTACTGAACTTGAATATTATATGTTGGATCCCTTTTATCTGATATTTGGGCTATACCTGGTGGTACTTAGGACTTTTTTTCTGGCCCTGTGCTCAAGAATTACTCGTGAGGGTATTTGGGGGACAGTATGCGGTGCTAGGTAATGAAAAATGGTTGGTTGCAAGTATCTAACCCTTGTGCTATATTCTTCGGGCCCTCCCTTGAATCTTGAATCTTAACTTGTTAGAATTGTTGTTTAGTAACCTAATCTTAATTGCCAATTTAGCTATTTTCAATTTCCATTCTCCTCCAGTCCCTGTCCTATCCATTTGGCAGGAGAAAGAAAATAAAAAGCCCAGAAGCTTAAATTATACAAATAATTATGTACAGAAATGAGGTGTTTGATCCATTCCTTTTTATGAATATACATATATGATGCCAAAGAAATATTTCAGGGGTTAAGACATTTACCTTCCATGTGACCAACTGTTTGATTTTTGAGTACCTCCAGGAGTGACCTCTGAACACAGAATCACAAGTAAACACTGACCACTGTTGAGTGTGCCCCCCAACAAGAGAACAAGATAATAGCTACACAAAGTCAATATACAAATATGTTTTCAGATAACATATGAACTCATAAATGTTGATAAGTAAGGGTAGCACTGTAGCACTGTCTGTAGCACTGTCTTCCCGTTGTTCATTGATTTGCTCGAGTGGGCACCAGTAACGTCTCTATTGTGGGACTCGTTACTATTTTTGGTATATAGAATACACCACGGGGAACTTGCCAGGCTTTGCCATGCGGGCGGGATACTCTCAGTAGCTTGCCAGGTTCTCCGAGAGGGGTAGAGGAATCAAACCCGGGTCGGCTGCGAGCAAGTCAAACACCCTAGTCGCTGTGCTAAGGGTAATATTTTAAAATATGAACACAGTTTTGATTAACACAGGGGGGCTGGAGCAATAGCACAGCAGGTAGGGTGTTTGCCTTGCATGCAACCAACCCGGGTTCAATTCCCAGCATCCCATATGGTCCCCTGAGCACCGCCAGGGGTAATTCCTGAGTGCAGAGCCAGAAGTGATCCCTGTGCATCACCAGGTGTGACCCCAAAAAGCAAAAAAAAGATTATAAATAGCATAGCTAAATAGGATCTACTTAAGAAAGTTAAAATGTGAAATAGGGAGGAAGGATATCACTGTCACTGTCACTGTCCTCCCGTTGTTCATCGATTTGCTCGAGTGGGCCCAGTAATGTCTCCATCGTGAGACTTTGTTGTTACTGTGTTTGGCATATCGTATACGTCATGGGTAGCTTGCCAGGCTTTGCCATGCGGGCGAGATACTCTTGGTAGTTTGCCGGGCTCTCCGAGAGGGGCAGAGGAATCAAACTTGGGTCGGCCATGTTGGCTGCATGCAAGGCAAACACCCTAACCACTGTGGTATTGCTCCAGCCCAGGGAGGAAGGATAAGCAGATGCAAATGATGGAAACTGATTATGAAAATATGGAAACTGGATGGTAGGTAGGTCAAAGGACCAGTGTGCAGGCCTCACATGCACTAGGTCTCAAGTTTGATCCCTGGCAACATTTGCACCAAGTCTCCCCTGCATTGGCTATGGCCCTGGTGATCCTGACACTACTATGCCTGAAGCATCACTTCACTGGGCAGGAAAACTGAATTACCAAGCACTCATAGCCAGGAGTGTCACTGAAAGTGGCACCTGGGTCATCTGCTCCCTTGCTGCCCTTCCCAAGAAAATATGACCAAAGTGAAAGGGTTAGAACACTCAGTGTCCTCTCTACCACAAGAAGCAGCCCAGCACTAAATCGAACACTCCTTTCTTCTTCTGGAACATACAAAAGCCAAACTAGGTTGAAACAAACATCTGAATGAGAATTTTATTTGTACAATAATTTCTTATCCATACTCTTCTCCTCCTTTTTATTCCCTCTGTATTTATATTCATTTGCACTGAACATGCCTGCATCTCCTGACATTTTCCATGTTCCTGATAGATGACAACCACATTAGATAGCTAGGTCCCTTGGGCAAATGAGCAGCCTGAGCATGTTTTTTTAAACCTATGACTAACAGTTGAAAAATGACTAATTGGTATTTTTTAATTCCTTAAGAAACAAACAAGAGTGAGAAAAAAACACACACACAACTCACTGCAATAACTTGAAAAGCAAAATGCCTTCTACTGTTAACTTTCCCTCCATTTATAACGGTAAAATGCATATGGAAGCTTATTTCATCTTCCCAAAACATGCAGAGGTGTGAAGGTGGAATTACTTTTATCATTTGTGCCATTCGGATCACTTACCTTATTGACTGGCAATCTCACTTATTTTGCTCTTCAAAAATTTATAAAAATAAACTGCAGAAGTGTAGTAGTGTCGTATTACTTGAATTGTGATTCCTGAAAGAGTGTTTTATCCTGCAAAGAAAGTTACATGTTGAACTATTTCAATAAACACTTTCATTTCATTGGCATCTCCAGAAGTGAAAATATTCGGATTTTATATGCCATTCGATGGGTGTGTGTTATTATTCTTTGAATTCCAGTGTGATAACAAATTGCTGTGATTAATCAGAGGCTATTTTAAATACAGATTAAGTATCTAGGGTCTTTTGGGAAACTTTGAAGTTTGGCCACATTACATGAACTCTTTTACCACAGGATATTATCTTTAGCCTGAGTATTATTATCTAAGCTCATTTTTCAAAATCTAAGCCTCTTTTAATCTTTATAAAAGAATGCCTAAATGACCCTTTCTCTGCAGTTCTCTTTTGCTATCAGTTGGAAGTGGAAATTACTGACTTCATGTAACAGTTCTCAGGAGCCTGGCCAAAGAATGTGATAATCAACAAAACTCCTTGCAACTTAGAGCATTTTACAGATCAGTTTTAAGGACATTTCTAACTGTGTTTTTTTTTGTGTGTGTGTTTCAGCTTGCTTTGATGAGATCAAGTTCTTTAGGTGACTTTTCCTGTTCTCCAAGGTAAAAAATCACTTACCATTTAGTCTCTTACTAAGATACTTAGAAATCTCTCTTACTCTCTGAGTCATACTATAGTTTACATAAATACCAGTTATTCTTAACCATGAGTTAATTTTAGTAGAAAGTATGTGTCACATGTGATCCTTTGATCTCCATAAACATTTATTTGTTTTGTTTACTCTTTTTTTTTTATTTTACAGGAAACTTGTTTCTGTGGAAAAGCAGGATAATGGGACATTTGGCTTTGAAATTCAGGTGGGCAAATTTCAAATTCTTCAGACGTTCAGTGAAGAAAGCAGCTTTGATAGTGTTATTGCATTTACAAAGAAGGAATGAAATTAGGATTTGAGTCTGATCAAAATGGTACCTTTTTTCCAATGTGTAATTGTTCGGGGTAGCTTTTCGCTTTGTTTTTGGTTCTTGCAAGGAAACCACTGAAGTGAATAAAGAAGACTCTGAGACATGCTTAACTTCCTGCTGCCATCTTCCTCTAAGTCTAACACTGACAGAAATGCTCGCTATCATCCAGACTTTAAGAGAATGAAATACTTTTCTGCATTTGATGTATTTTCATTTCTGATACATATAGTTTCCTAATTATTATTTGTATTGTATGTCAGATTTTCTGTCTTTACATTAGTGTTCAAAGAATGCTTGAAAGCATGGGTATTCATGTGTGAGGACTGCATCTATTTAGGAATATAGTATCATGTTTTGTTACATTGAAAAAATAACAGAGATTTCATATAATATATGGAATAATTTCTAAGTGAACTTTTTATGTGGATTCAAACTCGTTGACCTGGTTTATATAAAATAAGTAAAAAAAATCTAAGTATATACAAACATTTGTTTCTATATTTTTTATTCTTTAGGAAAATTTGAAGTATCTATTGTAATTGTATAAGAATTTCCTTTTTATTTTCTATCTGCCTACTTATGGCTTTATTTGGTTTAGGTTCAAATAAAGTCTAGTCAAATCAAATGCAGCACTAGTAGTTGTTTTTTGTTGTTGTTTTTTTTATGTAGCACTTGTGTTTCTTTTAGTATGTTTTACATAATCTTATTCTTACACCGCATGTCAGCTTTTAGATTTTAGCTTTAGTGTTGCTTTCAGAAAACTCTGGTGGCTGAATATAATCTCCACATTGGAAAGTCAATGTGTATTTTAAGATTAGGAACTGGAAGCTGCTAAATAAGTAAAATATATTTTATGTGTAAAGAAACAAGATGGAACACTAGCTGCAAGGAACAGAAAGAAGACTAGAAGATATCTTCTACTTTCTGTTGTTATTGTTTGTGAGACACACTTGATAACTCTCAGGATTTGCTTCCAGCTCAGGGATCACTTTTGGAGTGATGGGGAAAATCTGTGGCACTGGAGACTGAACCCAGGTCAGCCTCATGTGCAGTAACTGTTTTACTCACTGCACTGTCTTCTCTGGCCCCAACTTTCTACTTTCTTTTTAAATTTGGTGAAAATGAAAATGATTCTTCTATAAGGTATTAGAAGCATAGGGCTCTCTCTTATTTTAAATTCACATGAAACACTTTCAATTTGTTATAGAGACACTTTTCTTTCTGTGATGAACCATTTTTTTTAATTGTAGTCAGAGAGAGAGGACAAGGGATAAGGCACTTGCCTTGTCTGAGGTCAACCTCATTTGAATCCCCAGCATTGCATATGATCCCTTGGACACTGCCAGGAGTGATCCCTGAGCACAACGCTAGAAATAAGTCCTGAGCACTGCTGGTGTGGCTTCCAAAGAAAGCAAAATGGATTATCCAAAAGGATATGTATAGAAGTTATTCCCCAAAACACATTCAATGAGTGCTACATTATGCTTATTTATTGTGACAAATTTCCTCACTCTTCTAGAATTCATTGCTTCTCCATATTTCTGGCTTATACCATGTATTCTATATGGAAAAGGGAAAGAGTCAAAATCACCAGGCCACAGCATCATATCATGTTATATGTTACCATAAATGACACCTTCACTACAAATTGCAGCACGTATATGTTACCCAAGTAATGTAGAAACCCACTTCTTATCAAATATGTTTTTAGTGTATGCTTTCCATGAACTACTCCTCCATTCCTTTATCTATTCTTGGATTCTCTTAAGACTTTCAGTAATCACTAAATAGGGGGATGTTCTGAAAAAATTTTAAAGACAGTTAAAACCACATATGTGTAACTGTATTATATACCATTGCAACATGTGTTTGGGCTCTGGCCTACCAGGTGAAAGGTGTTACAGAAAAGAATAGGTCTATCCTTCTGTGGTTTAACATGATTGTTTTACTGAGACTCATACACCTTGATAGGAACATAGACTTTAGTTTATGTTCATCTGAGTTCACATTCTGTAAGTACTAATTTATGGGGTACTTACAGTTTCAAGTAAAGTACACATATAAGTGCATATTCAGGTAAAAGCATCAGCAAGTGACAAGTGCTATAATGAAGGTCATTGGTCATGAGCAAGACTTTGTGGCTTCTGTTTTTTCCAAGAAACTTAGGTGATTTTTGTCACCAGTCCCTAAAAATGAGAGATGAGAGAGGACAGAAAGAGATGATAGAGTTTTCTTTTTATTGCTTTAGTTTTTCTGCCTTTTCTTCTCACCCACAAATTTCACACCTATTTTTCCCATGTACATATAAACATAAAGGTGCTGGCGGCCCCATAAGTCATTATGTTCCCCGTCACTTCAATTACTGAACATAGAGGACAGATTCATGCTGCTAATAAGAATTGTTATGACAGTGGTATCCCAACGGACTTTCTATCATAACTGGCTCATGTTCCGCATGAACAATACCTCTTCTTTATCTCTGAAAAAAAGACTGCATTTCTGAAAAGCTATTAGAGTGGTCTTTAAAATGACAGGAAGGATATTGTATGATTCTTAAAATGGGCCTGCTTTTAAAACATGGCAATTCCAGGGAGCAGAGAGATAGTGTAAGGGTTAAGGCACAGGACTTGCAATGTAACCTATGCCAGTTTGAGCCCCAGCTCCACAGAGTCCCTTGAGAACTACCAGATGCAACCCTGTGTGACCTAGGACATCCCTGGCTCTACAGGACAATAGCATCACTACATCCTCGGACCATTGCATTGGAAAGCTCACCCATTTAGCTGAGAATCTCTAGGAATGGCCCTTTGCCCCCTTGAATGCCACTTGTGAGGCCCTTCCCTCCCCTGCAAAAAAGACATGAGGATTCTAAATACTTTATAGAGTGAATACAAATACTTTAGAGGTTAAAAAAATATTAAATTGCTTGCATACGACCATCTTCTGTAAACCTGTAAAATATCAGAATGAGTATCAGACATTCACTTCTTCAAATAGATGTTTACTATAATGTGGGCTGATTTTAGGAACTGGATGTTTTAAATATAATTCAGTATTCTTTTTTATGTAAATGAAACTAGACATTATAAAATTAAGTTTGTGAAAAAGAAAAATATTTTGCTGTAGGCCATTGTATCATTATCTAGAACAAATATTTACACAATGTTCTTGGTATAATTTGTAAAAAGCAGAAACAAACTCCCACCACCCTGAGTACATGACTAAGATGCTTTTGCCAAATTAAAGCAAGGAGCAAAGCATAACTTTTTTTCTATTTTAGTTGGATGACTAATGATCCGGTGAGTATTCAGGGCAGGCATACCGGAGAGTGTTCAGAAAGGAAGGTAATTGAGTCAATTATAGTACTTCTGAATTAATGCGGGGCAGATTGTCATTATTTGCAGAACTCTGATTTAAAATAATTGTTGTTGGCATGTCTTCCTTGCTAAAATGTGTACTGTTTCATATATTCTTATAATGAGTACCTTAACTTGATAGAAGCACATGGTTTTTTTTTTTCTCTTTGCTTTTGGCCGCAACTGTTTTATCTTACTAATAAATAATACAATAATGTTAGCATCAAGTGGTCTTTCCAGCTTGCTAGCTTGATATTGTAATGTCTCGAGGTAGCCTTATTCCTCTTTCTAACTCTAAGCAGATCATTTTTATAAAGGAGACTGGCTATCGATTGGTAATGGAAATTGTCATCTTTGATTCAGGAAAGTTTCCAAATTGTTCTTTGTACCTAGGTACCATACCAATGAATGTAATAGGTATATTTTTAAGTTTTTTACATAGTTTTTGATTTGGGGTGACACTTGGCAGTTCTTGGGGCTTACTCCTGGCTCCGTACTCAGGGATCACTACTGTCTGGAGGACCATATGTGGTGCTGGCGATTGAGCCCAGATCAGTGCTTGGCAGCAGTACCAACTCCAGCCACTAATTGGCATTTTTTTTCTTTTTTTAAAGTAGTAATTATGTCTCACCTTCACTTTACAGACATGCAGGTTCCAGACCCAAAACCCCTGCTCCTCAGAGACATGTACTCTGATCTGCAAGATCCATGAATGTAGTCCAGCACACCATGCAGGCCTGAAAGCTGGTAACTCATTACTTTTGTCATATTTGGAATTATTTAACTAGCCAGGAAAGAAAAGTTTTAGCAGTGAAGGTCAGGACATAATTGTGGCATTGAATTTTCTCAGCTCCTTTTTGTTGCTGAGGCTTGATGGGCCTTGCTTGCTTGCCTGTATCTCTCTCTCTCTCTCTCTCTCTCTCTCTCTCTCTCTCTCTCTCTCTCTCTCTCTCTCTCTCTCTCCATCATATACACATATGTGTGTAGACAGATAGATATAGATATAAAGAGGGATATTTAACTGCTGGAACACTCACTTTTTTTCTATGTCCTAGGTGATGTCCTTGCAAATATCAATGGTGTGAGCACAGAAGGCTTTACCCACAAGCAAGTTGTTGACCTGATCAGATCATCAGGAAACCTGCTAACGTAACTATTCATTGGCTTCCTGTGGGGCTTAACAATATTGAGGTCTCTCAGAAGGCCTGTTGAGTGAGAAAACTTTTGTTCAGGATCACAAGAAGAGAGGCAGCTTGGGGATTAGGTACAGAGGTGTTTTTTTTTTTTTAATTTTTTTAAAAAATCAGTTCCTTTTGTTTCTCAAGGTTTCCTCAAACATAAACACAGTATCAGCATCTGAAGCAAAAGGACATCAATCAATGGCCCAAACTTCTGTGTGGGAGGGCTAACATGAAAACATTAATTTTTTTTTATGTTGAGTTCAATTAAATTGACACACGTTCTTTTTTGGACAAAGAGGAACTGGTCCAATTTTAATGGTTGATTTAATCCTGTGGTTAGAACACATGAAAGGTCAAAAAAGACTGATTTTCCCCCATTATTATATCTCAAGTCAGTTTTTTTTTCTTGTGTTACATTTGGAAAGAATAAGTCTGTCCAACATTCTCTTCCCTGCAACACATGCAACTATTATTGCAAATTTGCTAATGTGACATTGGCAAATAGAGTTAATGTTGTTTCTCCATATCATCCCTAAAACTTAATAAGACCTTAGCATTTATTAAAGGATGGAATTCTCTTATTCACTAAAATATTTGTTGAGCAAAAACTACATTTCTGGCTCTGTAATAGACCCAGGGAAGGCAGATAAAGACTTTTCCAGTGCTTTATGAACTTCAAAGATGGATAAGAAAAGCCTGTCAAAATAAGTAATTTTGATATTTTACTTATTGAAAGCTGCTATAAAGAAAATAAAATGAGGAATGGTATAGAAAATTGAGAAAAGTGTTTTTAAGGAGGGGATTTTTTTTGCTTTAATTAAAAAAAATTAAGACACTATGATTTGCAAAGCTATTCATAACAGAATTGTTTCAGGCATACAATGTTTCAACATCAATTCTACCACTCGTTTCCTACGGGGTTCTTGTCATCCCCCAGCCTGCCTCCTTGACAGACATATATGAATTTTTTTATGTTGCTTGCTCTAACAAAACTTAAATAAATAAATAAATCATTTAAAAAAAAACCAAAAATGTGTGAAGAGGGCACACTGCAGGTGGCTAATTGAGAAGTATGTAGCAAAAGATATGCTAAAAATATATGAAGACAGAAAGAGAGAGACAGAGAGAGAGAAAGAAAGAAAGAGAGAGAAGAAATGTGCCTGCCAAATCAGAAGATAAATCCATAAAAGTTGGTTTGTAATGATAAATTACTATATGATTTTAACCTTTTAAAATGAAACTGAAAAAGAAAATGAAAATCACTTAAAACAATGTAATACACTACCTTTTTAAAAATCTGAAGTCTAAATGAAGAAATGTGATGATTATATGAACTTCTGGTGGAAATATTTCAGGTGAAGAGCAAGATCTCTAAATTCTCGAAAAGAGCTTAGTACATCCAAAGGACAGAGAAAAATCCCAGGTTGTTGTTAGCTTGTGAATTATAGAGCATATAACAAGAAATAAAGACAGTTGGCCAGGGGTCTCATCAGCATGCTAGGTAATTCAAGTTTTTTTTTTAATTAATGTGGGCTCTGTATTTTCTCATTAATTGTTCAGAGTCACCTAGTGAGATTAGTTTTATGTATATTTATAGATAAACTGAAGCTTAAATAAGAACAACTGCCTAGTAAGTGACAGGGCTGGCATTTGACCACCTGCTTCGGATGCCAGAATCTGTTCCTTTGAGCTGTACCAAACTACTTGCACACAGCTGATAAGAAAACTTCTGAATGTTCTTTAGTGATTAAAACTAACTTTAAAAGGGAATTTGGGTGTGTGTTAGGTAGTGTTGAAAGATCACTGGTGGTTGTAAAAAACTGAGGCCAACTCTATGAATTCTACAAGTTTGGGGTAAAGGCGGGTGTGTGCCTTTTTGGATATGGGTGGTGGGAGGATGTTTTTGCTTCAGAAAAACCTGAATCTAAAAGGTAAAATTTAGAGAGCAAGAAAAAAATAGTGGTTAGAATCAAAAGTTATACTACAAATACATGAAGAGAGAAAGAGAAAAAACTGCCTGTGATAGAGGCGGGGCGAGGGTTGGGGTGGTTGCAAAAAGGGAAACTCAGGACATTGGTGGTGGGAAATGTACACTGGTGAAGGGACAGGTGTTGGAACACCGTATAACTGAGACCCAATCATGGTCAACTTTGTAACCACATATCTTACTGTGATTCAATTTAAATAAATAAATAATTTTTAAAAACCCCACAAATGTGTGAAAAGGACACACTGCAGGAGGCTAATTGAGGAATATGAGTGCAGGCAAATAGAAATGTGTGCAATAATCGGTACCTTTGGTTTTTACTTATGTGCATTTATTGTCTGAATAAAATAGATCACATAAAAGTCCCATTAAAAGAGTTTCATAAGAATCCTCACTATTGCAGTCAAAATCACCCTAGGAGAAAGTATCTTAACTTATTATCATCTCAAACTTTATAAATGATGGCTAGAGGAAATAACAAAAAAAATCACACTCCACATTTAATTCTCTTCTTTCACTTAATACCTTTAAAACATCTTGCATTTGTAAATAGTTATAGTTTATTTATCAGAAACATATTGGCGACTGTATTTGAACAAATACTACAAAAATGCTTAGAACCATTAGTCATGAAGGTTTTTCCCTCTGGTAACTAAGAGGCAATCAAAATTGAGCTTTATAACTTGAGCTCACAAAACAAATCATTGAAGGTTAAACAACATTTAAAAAAACTTTAGATAAGGAAAATCTTATCATGAAATTGATAATTCTAGAATAAAATTTGTAAAGGCTTAGAGATGACAGGATTATATGAATATAATTTTCTAATAGCAGGACTGTTCTATTTCTTCTAGTTTTAAAATTTATGGAGGCAAAAGTTCCTAGAATGCTAAAGGGGAAAGAATGTTTTTCCTCTTTCAAGAAATAGTATGTTCTATTTCAAAGTCTTTAGTGTCTATTGTTTTTAGTAGCCCACAGGCTTAGCAGTGTCTAGAACTTGCTTATAGTGGTTCTTCAATAAATATTCATTAAATGAAAAAACTCATGAAAATAAATTCTAGAAGAGAACAATGATTGTTATTACCATATAGTGACTTCTATAAATTAAGCTATAACTTGGAAATTAACCAGAATTATTTTAAGCCACTATCAAGAGGAGGATTTTTTGAAAATGTTTTTAAACATAAATATTGTCACAAGATTTGACTGAAGGTCCAGATACTATAAGTATGATGAGAATAGAAACATTTGTGCTGAATTTTAAGTATAATCTGTGCTCAAGTATAGTACTTTGTAAGATATAACCTGTTTGAAAGAATCACTTATGCTATTTCCTGTCCCCCCCCCCACTTCTTTTAAATCTTGAAACAGGATAGAGACTCTTAATGGAACAACAATTCTCAAAAGAGCAGAGCTTGAAGTCAAGCTGCAAAATTTAAAGGTAATTTAATTTAATAAAGTGAGGCACAGTTTTCATTCTTGAATGTGTGAGTGGAAGAATAAAGATCTATTTGAGGAATCAAGGTAGCCCTTGAGGATGAAATATCGTGATAAGTCTAAACTACTGAGTTATCAAAAGCTACCCAATTACCTTTGCAGGAATATTAAATTCCACACACTAGTGCAAAATCACTCTCTTCCTTCCTCCTTCTGTGTCTATGAGACTTAAAAAGGCAACAGGAAGGCATATTGCTTCAAGGACTTTTCATTAATGCACCTGTGATTTCTCTTGATTTACATTTTGTGTGGAAAAAAACAGAGAGGAGGAACTAGACTTTTGGTTATTTTCCCAAGTGTTGCACATGTCTGCAGCAGAGCCTGGAAGTTTTGCTTTTTCATTGTCCTCCCCTGTGTCCTTTCATTCTACCTTGTTTTTGCTTTTTAAAATCCTGCCCCTCTCATCCAGTCTTTGGAATCTGCTTTTAGGACCAAACTCCCAGTCAACTCTAAAGAAGTGAAAATATTCTATGAGGGTATGGGCAATTTAACATGTTTGATAAACGTTCTTTAGGATGGCTTCTTGAGGCTCCTAAGAATGTTCAGTTTGCTAGTCTGTTGAGGCTCTGCCATGTCCTGGAGGCTAGATCATTACTTGTGAGTCTCAACCTAGCCCTTCCTTCAACCCCAACTGCATGCTTCCTCCAAGAGCACCCATCTGCCTTGGCAGCTATGTCTGAGCAGGAATTGCTCGGCTTATGGGGCCATTTGAAAACTTCCTTTAAGGAAAAATGCTCTTTTAATTAGCAAATTCATGAGGGTGGAGTTACTGAATTTCTATTTTACCCGATAGTCTTTTCTCCCCCACATTTAATTAATTCATCAGCAAGCCCTGTTCTCTTCCTTGTCAACAAAGGTTTTATGCTGTTGCCATTCTGTTTATCCTTTTGATTTATTTTTAAATCATTTTGTAAAATTCCTTGGGGGAGCAATCTTATATTCAGTTGTAGTAGGAATTGAATCACATTTGGAAAGTAAGTGGTAGAAGTTCATATTTTGATGGTTTTGATTTTTTTTGCTTCTAACATTTTATCTTGAGCTTTTCATTCAGGTCTTCTATATACTTAAAAAAGACTTTTTAGTAATTTTTTAATTTTTACACATACTTTATTATATATATTCTTAAATGCCACCTTGTTTTATGCTATTAAAAGCTTTATTTTTATTTCTTCAACTGCTTACTGCTATTGATTTTTGTGCAAATTTTAAATCTAGTAGATTTTCTTCTTAATCCTAATAGTGATTGGAACTTATTTTACACTTTTTATACAGAAATAGTACTTAAAGATGCAGTTTTGTCTTTACTAACAATTTTTGTTTTTGTTTTTGTTACCATACCATCAATATCCTGTATTGCTCTTGGCTTTGTGCTCAGGTATCATTTCTGACAGGGCTCTGGAATTGTATGTGGTGCTAGGAACCCATCCCAGGTTTTGCTTGTGCAACTCAAGCACTTTACCTGACTTTAAAAGCAATGTCTTAAATATTAAATTATTTGAGTAGTTAATGGAATTTAAGTGATAGTACATTTAGGTTTACAACTTTTAAAAATTAAAAACATAGTTTTCTGTATAAATATTTGTTAGTAAAAATATAATGACTTGTTGAATTTATGTGCTTGCTGTTGTTTATTTTATTTTATGAATTCTTATAATTTATTCCTAGGTAAAATGAAAGACAATCTTGATTGAAAAACAATTTTTATTTCACTGTTACTATTGAAATAGACGTTGGTCTATTTCTATTGGTAAGGCGTTTGTCTTGTGCAAAGCCAGCCTGGCAGAGCTGGGTTCGATTCCTCCGTCCCTCTCAGAGAGGGAAGCAAGTTACCGAGAGGATCTCGCCTGCACGGCAAAGCCTGGCAAGCTCCCCATGATGTATTCGCTATGCCCAAAACAGTAACAACAAGTCTCACAATGGAGACATTACTGGGCCCACTCGAGCAAATCGATGAACAACAAGAGGACAATGCTAACTAGGACAGTGCAGTGCTAATGTTATACTTACTGTCAAAAATTTTCCAAAAGTTACTTTGCATTTTTCGAAAGTGGGCACATCTTTTGAAAAGAGGATTAAATTTTCAGTCTTCTGTTAAAAATAAGGTAAAGAAATATAAAATAAACTAGTGATATTATTTAAAACATAAACAAGTTCATAGTTCATGGAATAAGAATTTCTGTATACAACACAGTTTTATGCTTCAAAAATTTCTATTCTTTAAATTTAATATTTAAATCGTACTATAGGATACATATATACTTAACTATTATTTTAATTGTGAGAATATTTTATTTATATTTATACAAATGTTAAAAAAAATTGTCCACTCCCTGATAATTCTTAACATGCTTTAAATGTTGATTTAAATCTCCATCTTCCTTGTCATTGTTTACATTTAGGTTTACAACTTTTAAAAATTAAAAACATAGTTTTCTGTATAAATATTTGTTAGTAAAAATATAATGACTTGTTGAATTTATGTGCTTGCTGTTGTTTATTTTATTTTATGAATTCTTGTAATTTATTCCTAGGTAAAATGAAAGACAATCTTGATTGAAAAACAATTTTTATTTCACTGTTACTATTGAAATAGACCTCTGTTTATCAACTGAATTATTTTGAGTTGATATTTTGTTCCCTTAGCACGTCAAGTGTATTCCTACTTTGATATCTTTTGTTTATGAAAGAGCACCAGATTGTTTTTCCCTTGAGGTAGTGTCATTTTCTATATTTTCTTCCAAATCTTTTTAGTTTTCTTTTTTTCAGACTGAATTTTATAATTCATCCAGAAATAATTTTTTCTATTTTATTTTTTCCACAAGAATACTCAGTTGTCCCTAGTACCATTTTATTTATAGTCTCTATATTTGACTAGTATTTCCACCAATTGACGTATAATAAAACCTCTATTTTCAAACAAGTTCCATCTACGATGAATTTCTAGTACTCCTTATACTGATCCATCTGTCAATTTGTTTATCTTAAACTCACTTAACATATCCTTGCAATAAATCTTCATTGCTGCTTGAGTTCCAGGTTACTCTTATTTTTATTTTTTTTGACAATTCTATGCAAGTTTTGATATCAGATTGCCAAGACTCATCAATGTGGGAGTTTTGACTGTTATCACATGGTGTGTGTGTGTGTGTAGGTGTATATGGGAGAGATTTGATTTCTATATGATATTGAGTTTTTTTAGGCAATTTCACTGTTTTAAATATTTAAGAGAATCAGAATTCTATTCAAGTAGATCATAGGTATTTTTTGGGGGGACAGCTTACTAAGCAGTGCTCACAAGGCCTAGAGGCTACTGCTGTGTGGTTGGGTGAGAGGTTGCTCAAGACCTGTGGTGCCAAGGACTGTGTTGCTGGGCTGCCTCCAGGGCTCTGCCCTGTGGTACTTAGCAGCCATTGGAGCTAGGGTTTGAACTCTGTTTCCTGTGTATGTGTACATGCTAGTGAGCTATCTCTCTGACTTCCAACCTGCAAAAATACACACAGATATCTTTTCTTAAGAGTTTTTTTCTTTAAAAGAGTAAATGATTTGATTGAGGTAATATATATATATATAAAACAAAGGTGTATCTGCTTTATTTTTTTTTTTTTTTGCTTTTTTTAGTCACACCCAGCGATGCACAGGGGTTACTCCTTGTTCATGCACTCAGGAATTATTTCTGGCCGTGCTTGAGGGACCATATGGGATGCTGGGAATTGAACCTGGGTCGGCTGCGTGCCAGGCAAATGCCCTACCCGCTGTGCTATCACTCCAGCCCCAGTCTGCTTTAATTTTTAACATCTTGCTAAAAACTCTAATTAAAAAAATTTTGCCTCTTAATTGTTTTTGTCTTTTCAGTAAATTAATAACTATCTATTCAGAGTTCATTCAGTTCTTTTTCTCACTTTACCACAATAACCAGGACCTATAATGATAAATAGGAAATATTTAGCATCCTTATTTTATTCCTGATGTTAAAGCCAATTCTTACATATTTTTATAGGAATGAACTATCTCCGGGAGTGTATTTTATAGATTAATAAAGTCTTTTAAATATCAAGTTTCCTGCTAGTTTTTATAACTTAGGTATTAAATTTTGTGAACTTTTCCTTATATTTTTAACATGGCCTTCAATTTATTTTCTAAAAATCTGTCATTGTGGTGACACTTAAAGTTTTCTAATATAGAACTCCTTTTCTTTTTAAAAGAAACCCATCCTAGTCCTAATTTATAATTATTTTTCATGTTTGTAGGTGTTATTTGCTGACATTATCTTCAGTTTTTTTTTTTTGACGGTAGCTTCATTTCTCGCACTTACCTATACCTTCCTCCCTCCCTACCTTAGACTACCTTTAATTTTGCTATAAAGTTTACTAGACAATTTGCATAAATTGGGTAATTCCCCATTTTGTTCCCTGATAGAATTCTTGTAATTCTAGCTGAATCATCAGGGTTTTAGGTCTTTGATGAAAATAATTTTAAACTACTGTTTTAGATTCTTTATTAGTTTTAAGGTTGATCAAACTTTCTACTATTTTTGATTTATTCTTTGTTGTTTTGTATTTATTTTCTCCATTTTTATACATTCTCTTATTTTTGTTGATAATTCCCTCTAACAGAGTTTTTGACTTCTAAATTCATCAGTATTTTACTGATACAATGTTTTGTCAAAGGGGTCTTCCTAGCGGTATTCATATCCCAAGACACTGGAGACTCTGTCTTATGATGAAGGCCTGTATTTTTTTTTTTTGGTTAAGTGCTCAGACCCAGTGATGTTGAATCAGACCCAATGGTGTTGAAAGAAGTCAGGGTCACCCCTGGGTACTGGAGGGAATAATTAACCAGTGGAGGGATTGAATTGCACTCTTTGAGCCATTATCTTAGACCCCAGATACAAAATTTGATTAGTTTTTTTGCTTATTTAGTTTTAAGATGTTCTTCTGTCTTTATAGTTTAGCCATAATATGATTGGTATGTTTAATAGTTTCACCACAATATGCCTATTCTGTATTAATTTTTACCTTTATATAATCTCTAAGTTTATCCTGTTTAGAATTAGTAGTGTCCTTTCAACCTAAGGACTTGTGACTTCAATTTAGAAATACTATCAACTTTATCTCTTTGAATTTCATCTTCAGTCTTCTTGGGTTATTATTTATTCTGTAATTCCTGTTAGATATACATTAGTCTCTTTATTTATCTATTATACTTCTTGTGTTTTTTCATACTTTGTATCACTATCTTTTTGTGTTCTTAAAAATTCCTAACATATTATGAGGGTTTAAAATGTGTTTTGTAGAGAATTTTGTATTCTAATAGATTTTAATAAATAATTTTCTTATTTCCAAAGTTAATTTCCTACTTACTTGATCTTTTATTTCTTATTCTTTTGTTTCAAATTTCTAACTCTTTTGAGCATTGATCTTATTTCACTTTTACGGATTATAAATATCTTTATTTCAAAGGAATCTCTGAAAATTTATTAATTGTCACTTTATTTGGAAAGAATTTTTATATTGATTAGTTTGGGTGTCCTCCCTTTGAGGATCAGTGTGCTACTTGATAGTTTACAGCATAGCATTTGTACATGCCTTTGCCTCTATAGCTTTAGGGGCTGCAAGAAATCTCAGTAGCAACTTTTCTCAGTATCCTTTTGTTTTTGGTGATAGAGCTTCAGCCAAGCAGAAAACTTGATTTTGTCTTTTGTTTTAGATAACTGCATGTAAATAATATATCCTCTGAACATTTCAACTCCTCTGTACTTCTTTCTGCATTTCCAGGATCAGCTGAAGTCAAAAGAATGAATCCTTCTCAAACTTCTATCCCATTTATTATCTTGAAACCATGTAATTCCAATTCATTTCTTGACCCATAAATGTTAAGATCTGACCTTTAATCAAGGTTATTCTGGCTTCCCCTTCACACAATGACCTTTAGTTTGTGCGTCTTCTGTAAGTGTTCCTCAAAGACCGTGGGGCTCCAATATCTTCTTAAGAAACAATGATTCATTCTAAGATTGTTTTCAGGGATCCCCTTTTTTGTGATCTATGATTCAAATATTTAACATGAAAACACAATTCCCCCTAGCCTAGTAGGAGAGCTAGTTTGTAACCCAGCTCTGAGATTTACAGGATCTTGAGATCTTGAGGTTTCTGCAATATTGAATGAATCTTTATGTTCTAGCTTGGAATTTTCTAGGACATTTAGGACAACTGAACAGCACAGTGTCTGTGAAAACAGTGTAAAAGTATAAAGTGTCATAGACTGTTCAGTTATCTCTTATGTAGATTGAAAACATTGAGTGAGTATTTGGAACCACTCCAAATTGCGATAGTTGAGTGTCATTTCAGGAAATTCTTTCCTATATTTATCCAACCAATAATTGAGCAGCTGTTATGAATAGGCTCTGAGCCAGGCACAGTGAGGTGATGTTACCCTGTATTGCTGATTTCACAGATGCTATAATTTTCTTCTGAATGTGAGAGGTTACATTTGTCCAAATATGCACTTGAGATGCTAACAAAAGGCAAAAATGTGCTTGAGTAAAATAGGAATGCTCTAGTAAATCTCTTAGTTACCTGGAAACATTGGCTCATATATATATATATGTGTGTGTGTGTGTGTGTGTGTGTGTGTGTGTAAGTGATGTCATACTTAAATGTTTGGGCATGATCAGGCCAAAACAACAGAGATTATATTTTTAAAACCAGTATTTTCTCAAAAATCATCTATTTGCCTAGCACTGGCTTTGCATTTCTAGTGAGTAAGGGCACACCCTTTTGCTTTTGTATTTAACTAATTTTTTTAGGACACCACACCCATTATAGTCCGGGTTTGTTTCTGGCCTTTTGCTCAGCAATCACCCCTGACAGTTATCAGGGGACTGTTTACGGTGCAGAGGATAGAGCCTGAGTCCCTCACATGCAAGGCAAGTACCTTACCTACATACAATCTCACTGGTCCTCCTGTTATTAGTTTTGACTTTCAACCTACCCTTGCTTTCCCTTTCCTCCTGTAGGATAAAAATATATACAAAAAACAAAGATAGGTTTGGTATACTTGCTAAATTCTTTCTAGTCCATCTATTCCCTGGGTCTCTACTGAACTTCCATGTAACCACAGGTGTATACAGGTAAAAAGTAGAGTAATTAAGGTAGCTGAGTAGTTTTAAACCTACATAAAGTTACATTATATACTATATTACAGTTTGGAAAGAATAAAAAATGAGTCAAACATTTTATTACTTTTTATTGCTTTGATTTATTACTTGCACATTGTGCACATTGTATCCCTAACTATAGATTCCAGCTGCTAAATGTTGCTGTTATCAAGTCTTGGAAATACCAGTCTATTGAATGTTCAGTATCTGACCTGAGGAACCAGTCATTTCCCTTAAGTATCTAAATGACATTTACACAGTGTTAATATTTTCTTGTGTTCTTAAGCTACTCCCTGTAAAAATGTACTTTATTTTCTCTTCCTTTTTTACCTTCACCTGTCCTTTCTGGACTACATCCTAGAAAGTTCTGCTGGTTTCCTACAACGTTGTCTTTCCTGTAGAGAAAGTGTCTATTGGCAAATCTGAGGTGTGCTTCTCTAGAGGACTTCCTATGGAGACTCATGAGATCAAAGAAAGAGTTGGAGAGATAGAACAGCTGCTAGGGTGCTTGTCTTGCTTGTGATCAACCTAGGTTCAGTCCTGGGAGGACTCATACAGTCCTCTGAGCCTTAAGAGTGATCTCTGAGCACAAAGCCAGGAATAATCTGTGAGTACCACTGATCATTCCTCCAGACTAACATAAACAAACAGGTGTCAAGGAAAGGGGTGAACAGAGGATGGCATACAGGCAAGAAAGAGTCTTGTCTATCTTGTCAATGGCCAACTTCCTGTTTTGTTTTAGCATCCTATTCCCTTAGTCCTGTCAGTGGGCTCTGCCAGGGCCTCTGGGTTTAACTATTGGAGCTGTCCCTTATTCCCAATTTGGGCTGCTTCTCTGTGCACTGGGTCAGCCAAAGAAGGAGGTTGTTAAGAAATAAGGTACTTTGTTCTTTTTTAAGTTTGGTCCTTGAAGACTTTCAGAACATGCCTGCTTTCCCATCTTAGTGTGGAAAACAGATTTTTTTTCTAAAATAAAAGACGTAGGTCCTCAGGTTTATAGACTGTTAATTTTATTGACTGATAATTTACTGAATTTAATCTCAACATTTTAATATACCATGCCAATTTAATCTCATGATCCTGCGATTTAAGTGTCATTATTGTTTTTATCTTGCAGCTGGTGAAAGCTTAGGATGCAAATCCTTGCCTAAACAACTACTACCTGGATATAAACCTAATTAATTTGGTTCTATCATAATTTTAAAAGTGAAAATACAAGACTGGAGACATAATAAAAAAGCTGGAGTTCATGCTATCATACCTAGATTTAATTCTTGGCACTTCATGTTTTCCAAGCATTGGCGAGAACAACCCTTGAATACTATGCCAGGAGTAACCTCAAGTTCTGCTGGATGCCTCCTCACCACACCAATTTATAGCCACGTTTTCTGTCCTATTTTTTAAGAATATGTATTGTTATTATATTATAACTTGAGAAAATAGTATGCTAAATGTCCTTTTTTATTCAGAAAATTATCTTTCAAACGAATGGTAAGGGTTGTTCATGCCAGAATGAAAAGGAAAAAAAAATAATGACAAATCTCAGCACCAAGAAAGAAATTGCTATCTTCACTTGAATTTCCTAATAATTAAGGGTGTTTTTCTTTCTTGCAGCAAACCTTGAAGAAAAAATGGGTGGAGTACAGATCTCTGCACTTACAGGAACAGCGCCTGCTTCATGGTAAATGCAATTTCCTGTTCAGAAACCACACAAATTTATTTCATTTTAGTATTTCTGCCTCTAACTTGTTTTAAGATAACAACTGTTACAAGAAAACTTTGTCTAGCATGAATCAAAGATACTTGTCCATGTTTTTTAAACATGACCTTTGGAGTTACCTGTGATTTTGAAGGAGGAATAGTCACACTCCATGTATGTGAAAATATACAAATGAACACATGTGCACATGCTTGAAAAGGCTCTTGGAAATTTGTCCTATTTTTCTACTACTTCAGCTAATGTAATTTAAAGCTTCTGTACATCGATGATGCTTGGTGGGCCATGTGGTACTGGGAATCAAACTAAAGTTGCCTAAATGTAGGCATGCATCTTAACCCCTGTACCATCTCTTTAGTCTACAAATTAACTCATTTTAAGACTAATGTTGTATAATTTTTTTAAACATTAACAGAAGTTTACTCTTTCTAGATTATGATAAATACACATGCATGAAATTCTTTAAGGAAGTCACTCTCAGATTGGAAGAACTCATTAACTGTTCTTAAGATGAAATAAAATAAGATGTACTGCATTAGGACTAGGTATTGCATAGATGGCCATATAATTTTTTTGTTAAATTAAAACACAAACAATCTCTTTACATTGTCAACCAAAGATATAGGAAAGCACCGTAGATGTAATCAGCATAAATTAAAAGCATTTCTGAGTGCTTTAAAGCCGTGACCTAATTATGCCATGCTCAGAATTGGAAATACTCCCAACAGCACACCAGAAAACTCAAATAATACAGTAGTAAGTGGAATATGGACACTATGTTAGTGTGTGATTAGAATTTGAATTTGGAAAGCCCAGATGTAGGTTATAAAAGGTTCATGAAAAATTAAGCTAAATAGGTAAAATTTGATTCCTTAGAATGAATCATTACTTACTTGAGGGTAGATATTTTTGTTTTAATCTAGCATCATTCCTGAGCTTTTAAATATTCTAAAAAGAAACTTTTAATATTGAATTTATGTTTTAAGTCCTTGATTTCTCCATAATGGTCATATAAAGCCAGGTTTTACAACTATTTTCCATATACTTACATTGTTGTAAGTACTAAGAACTTTGCAATTATTTAAAAATATCGGTAACTAGAAATCAGAGGCACTTGGGCAAAACCAATACAGTAGTATTTCCTTCTGAATATTCTTTCTAACCCTATTCTGAAAAAATTTTAATAAAAGGTTGAAAGATCACTGAAGTTTTAAAGATGATCCTTTAGGAAATTCTAAATTAAACTGACATTTTGTCAAAGAAGGTAGAGCTGTTCTCAGATGAACAATCTTGTTTGAAATAATTTAATCTAATACAACTGCTTTCATGACCACGGGATGTTTTTAATCTAGGAAACCTGAGATAAAGTTTATCAATTAGGCTCATATACATACACACTCTCATTTTCAGGGCTCAGTGAACAATGTTATTCTTTCTTCTTTCTTGTGCACTTTGTGGAGAAATTTTGAAGGGTGTCATTTACAGTGAATGAAGGATGTTCAGATCTATTTACATGGAAGGAACAATATCCATTCCATAGTAATCTGTGTTCTTTGCCTTCTAGGTGATGCAGCTAACTTCCCAAGCTTGGAAAACATGGAAATAGATGAATCGACTTTGTTTGGAAATCTACCTGGGCCAACCTCAGCCTTCCTGGACCGGCATAGCTTATCCAGTGAGAGCAGCTGCAGAAGCTGTCTCAGCTCCATGACAATAGACAGTGAGGACAGCTACCAGACATGTGTGTCTGAGGACTCCAATAGGGGAGCATTTAGCCGCCAGGCAAGCACGGATGACGACTGTTTCGTCCCCAAGGATGTGGATGATGTTCTGAGGAGGTCTTCTTCGAGGAGAAACCGGAGCATTAGTACGGCCAGCAGCGGATCCATGTCCCCATTATGGGAGGGCAGCTTCTCCAGCATGTTTGGGACCCTGCCACGGAAAGGCAAACGAGGAAGTGTGAGGAAGCAGCTCTTGAAATTTATCCCCGGTCTTCACCATGCAGTGGAAGAGGAAGAAAGTCGCTTTTAATAGCTTCTAGTGTCTTTTGTGTTAGTTTATTTCACAAACGTTGCCAGATTCAGTTAGATCAGCTCTGTCTAGCTTAGTGGCATTTCAGATAGATTTCAAAACTGACCTGCTATTTCATCATAACAGTGACCTTTATTAAAATTTGTTACCATTAATTTTTTTTAAAAAATCATTTTCCAACTAGATAAACTCCAGTTCTAAGCTGACATCAGGAGAAGTAAGTAATGAGTTTAAACATCAATTGACCCAGGATTTTGGTTTTTTTTTTTTTAATGCTGTCTGTGAAGGCAGGAATCGTATTTATTTTATAGACTATGTATAATATTGAGACATTTTTTGCCAACTATATAATGAAGTAATAATAATGATTATATTATTTGAGAGTATTTTTCTGATTATTTGGCAAGTTCTAAATAGGTTTGGTGTTGGGATTACGTGCATAGAAACTATCGTTACTTGTATACTAAACTACAATCTCAATTAAAAAATTAAATTAAAAAATATTAAATTTTATGTTTAAGTTCAGTAGCAGCTCCCCGTGGTGTATTTGATATGCCACAGACAGTAACAACAGGTCTTACAATGGAGACGTTACTGGTGCCTGCTCGAGTAAATCGATGAACAACGGGAGAACAGTGCTACAGAGCAGTTCTACAGCATAGGGGAAAGCTTACTAATAGACTATTTAAAATATTTTTGCTCAGGGCAGGAGAGAGAACTCTAAGGGCTGCATGCAAGCTTTGCATGTAGGAGGTCATATTTGATCTCTGCCATGTGTGGTAGTAAGCCCTGAGCACCACCCAAAAATCTATTTCTGTTCAAATCTATGAAGAATTATAAATAAAAATGATCACCAGTCATTTTTTAACATCTGTGGGAGCTTACAGCAGGGGAAGCTGGATTTTTTGCAAGTATCATGAAATAAGCATGATGAAATCTGTAGAAAGATTTTTAAGGTGCATGTTGAGAAAGATAGTTATCAGGTGCTATTTCAAGAATGTCTAAGCCAAATAGGTGGAAATATCATTTTTCTAACCTTTTTAACTATGTTTGAAGGTGATGACAAGTTCTACAACTTTGTGATTATTATTAATTTTATGTAAATGTGTAAAATTGGAAAAAGACTTAGGGAAAAAAGTTTTCTTCTGTAAATGTTTCCACATCTCTCCTTCATATCATGTATTTCAAATAACTGTCTCAATAGTCCTTTTAAAATTATATCACATTACTTTCAGACTTTCACTTATGTTTTCATTCATTACCCTTTAGTGATTTTTCTGTAGTGGTAATACAACTACTTTTTCCTATATACTAGAGCAGATAATCTGGACAAAGCAAAATAGTTCTACTGACTTTATGCTCTGTGTGTGTATGCGTGCATGTGTGTGTGTGTGCATGCAGGAGTAAGTGTGTGCATGCCTGTGTGTGTGGTGTGTGTTTAGGAAGAACAGAGATATTTTATAGTGACTGGATGTAACTGCTGCAACTCATTAAACTAATTAAGAAATGAAATGAAATGAGCTGGAGCAATAGCACAGCGGGTAGAGGGTTTGCCTTGCAAGTGGCTAACCCAGGTTTGATTCCTCCATCCCTCTTGGAGAGCCCGGCAAGCTACCGAGAGTATCTCGCCCACACCGCAGAGCCTGGCAACCTCCCTATGGAGTATTTGATATGCCAAAAACTGGTGCCTGCTTGAGCAAATCAATGAAAAATGGGAGGACAGTGCTACAGTGCTAAGAAATGAATCAATTTTTGAAAAGAATCAAAAGGTAAACTTACAGATTAGAAAATAAATAATAAAGATATAAAATTATTCACTTTCTATTATCTCTCCAAACTTATAAACATCAAATAGGCAATCAGACTGATTTGCATGTAAATCAGTATGCAGTATGCATCACAGGACCAGTGCAGTACGGTCTTCCCCTTATTGAAAGTCAAAAGACCTTTCCATGCGTTTCTGGCTTAACAGTGCACAGGTGTTAGGTGCACAGATGAAGAAGTGGGAATTTGGAGAATTCCTTGGTCAGTTGTTGCAGGCATTTCTTGACTTATTTCTCTAAATATTGTTTGTCTTTTTGTCTTTTATGCAGTTAAACAGGACAGGACTCTATCCCACTAGTAGGGATATTTAAAATATACAATTGTAGATATATTCTATAGGTAAGAATATTCTCTTTATTAAATAGGAAAACAAATCATGTATAATGACTTTCTTCTGGTGCCTATACATTTTTAGATATTTGGAAGTAAATAATTATAGTGCATTTTCAATGAAGAGCTTATATTTGATTTATAATACTTATTTCTCATGGCAGGCTAGAATTATCATATTAAATATATCTTACATAAATGCACAATTTCTTGTCCTACTCTACTAATTGCAGGAGAGAGATATATTATATTTGTTTGAGAAACCATGGCTTCAAAGTCTTCTACAAAGGATTATTTTGAGAACAAGTCATCTGGTAAATCATAACATAGGTCATTATTACTTATTGTAGATTTAAATGGTAAATGTAGTCCAATACTTCTTTTTTTACTGTTAAGAGTCAAACCCAAAAAGGATGCACTAACGGGAAAAAATAAGTTTCAGTATAATTTATTACAAGAATTAAAGTCAAAAGTTAGATGTATCTATTCTGATGGGGGGGGTGCTTTTTAAACAAACCACAGGAAGTAAGTTTATGCTATGGTCTGTGTGTTTACAAATTGTGAGAAAACTATGTATTTAGTGGAAATGAGGGTAAATTTCTCACAGCATAACTTTTCAGACAGTCTAACTTAAGTGCTACATAGTGACTCATTTTGATGTAATTTACTGAGAAATAATTGAAAAATTAAGACTATTTTTATTTAAAATTATCAGCTATGTAACATTGGTAAATTGCATTATTTTACAAATTTATAAAAATGAATTTTTCTTGTATGGTAACAATAAACCAATTGGATCAAATATGTTAGAAATTTGTCATATGACTAAAGAAATACTACTGTATCAAACGTTGAAAGTGTATTTTTGCAATGAACATTTGTCATAACTTTATACTTTTTATTTACTACATATCTTAGGGGAATGATGAAAACAATATCTAAGAATTACAGTTTTTTTTTCTTTTTGAGTCACACCCGGTGATGCACAGAGGTTACTCCTGGCTCTGCACTCAGGAGCCAGGAGCCACCCCTGGCGGTGCTCAGGGGACCATATGGGATGCTGGGAATCGAACCTTGGTTGGCCGTGTGCAAGGCAAACACCTTACCCACTGTGCTATCTCTTTCGCCCCTAAAAATCACAGCTTTTAATGAAGAAATCACATTTGGACATAGTTGTGAGATCAAGACAAGAACAAATAAGTATTTATGGAAGTGTATAATCTAAATATAATAAATCATATACATTAGCAATATTTACCTCTTCACTTCACAAGCATACTGGCATTTTATATTTATTTCCCTATGAAATTTAAGGCAATAAAATAAAACTTTGATACCTTTCTGAAATAGAGAATGTTATTCTTCAGAGTCAGAAATTTCTTCCTGTTCTCTCTCCATCTTTAGTTGAATGAAATGACTCCTAAAAGCAATTGAAAAAAAAATCCTTGGGATATTCATTGGTATCTATCTCTTTGAGATCCTTAAAAAGCAACTTAATTGGGAGTTTCCCTTATTTTAGCCTTCTCTTTCTCTTTAACACACTCCTTGTATAAATACATTATATCACAAAAGTGCTATGTGTCAGGAATATGTAAAACTTAGCTGGGTTTGCTTAAGGTTTTATAAGGCTACCATCAAGCCTGATAAGAATTCATTATCACTTGAGGTTTGGTTACGGAATGGGCTACTATATTGCCCAGGAAATTGTCAGAATGCTTTTTTGTGGGGATGCAGAGGGTTCACACCTGGCGATGCACAGGGGTTACTCCTGGTCTGCACTCAGGAATTACATCTGGCAGTGCTCAGGGGTAGATATTGGGTGCTGGGGATCGAACCTGGGTCAGCTGCATGCAAGGCAAATGCCCTTCCCGTTATACTGTTGCTCCAGCCCTTCTCAGAATATTTTCCTGTGACCATAGGACTCATAGAAACTTGCTTTTTAAAAAAGTCAGCAATGAAGAGCGAGAAAAAGACTTCAAACAAGTTCAGTATAAATGTGATGTAACCGAATAAGTGATATCCTATCATATTTGTCATATAGTATAATAGGCCACAGTTGTGATATTTGATCATTTGTGCTTTGTTCTGTTTATTAGACATAACCACAGGAGTTATGCATACTCAAGTATTAGGGTTTAGTCAGGAGGTGAGGAATAGGGAGGTACTGAAGAATCTGCTCACAATACCTTCAAGGAATTCACAAACAAAAATAATTAAAAATTATTGAGTAGTCGGGCTAGAGTGATAGCACAGTGGTAGGGCGTTTGCCTTGCATGCAGACAGCCCGGCCGAGCCGGGTTCGATTCCTCCACCCCTCTCTGAGAGCCCGGCAAGCTACCAAGAGTATCTCGCCTGCGCGCCAAAGCCTGGCAAGCTACCCATGACGTATTTAATATGCCAAACACAGTAACAACAAGTCTCAAAATGGAGACATTACTGGGCCCGCTCAAGCAAATCGATGAAAAATGGGAGGACAGTAGACAGTAGATTGAATAATCAATAAAACACTTAGACAAAAAAAGAGATGCTATTATTTTATTTTATTTAAAGAGATGGTAGTATTAAAGATTTCTGAAGCAAAAAAATCTAATCAAGATTATACAACTAGCTCAAAACATGAGTTGGGAAATGGATCCAGGTCTATTTGACCTTTCAAATTTGTATCCTAGATGCATTAAATGATACAATTTTTGAAGAATAAAATAAAGTAATCATTTTCTTTTAAATTCTGCTCAGAGAATCTAAATATATTTGATTCATTTCAGTTATTTGCATGCTCAGTTGTCACTTTTTGTGGGATTATTGTTTATTTGCTTATTTTGGGATTATCTGGTGAAGCTAGCTCTGTGTTCTGGAACCACTGTTAGTGATTCTTGGGGTGACCCCATCAGATGGGGTGCTAATGATTGAACCGAAGTTAGTTGTGTGCAAGGCAAATGCTCTGTCCATTGTACTATGGATTTTACCCCTATGGGTACACTTTTAGAAGTAGAGGACAGGAATTAAATCATATAATAAAGAAATACCCTAATAATAAAATTTTCAAAGAACAGAAGAAAATAATCAACCATCAGCAGAAATCC